CTGCCTGCACCCGGGCAGAACGGCGGGAGGTGGAGAGAGTCGCAGCAGAAGCCTTGAGTGGCCTGACCGGGGAGCTGGCGGGCAAGTACTACCGCCTCAGTGAGATGACGGACAAGGAGCAGGAGCAGCTTATTGAGGTGAGTGTGCCTGGGTGGGGCAGGGCCCTAGCAGACCCTGCTTGGTTGGGAGAAAAAGCCACGAGGAAGAAGAGCAGCGAAGATCAGATCCAACTGACGGTACCTGTAGGCCCAGGTCACCTGTTGTCTGGGACTGCAGGTAACTTCCCGCAAGGCCCATTGGCTGCCAGCCATCACCACCGCTTCCTCAGCCCATCTGGCTACAGGCAGCAGCTCTGTCCTGGGATGAAATTCCAGGAAAGCCTCAAGAGAACCTAGCAGGGATCTTGATCATCTTCTTCTTCTTCTTCAGGACCACTTCCTTTTTGACAAGCCGGTCTCCCCTCTATTGACAGCAGCAGGCATGGCTCGCGACTGGCCTGATGCCCGGGGAATCTGGTAGGCCTCCGTGGATGCTTCTGATGGGGACAGATTGGGCTGGCCAGATACTCCAGGCCCAGCCTCAGGAGAGGGGTCTTCCTGTGCAGAGGTCCTCTGGGCACGACTGTTCCTTCGGCAATGAAATACGTGGATTAGTGGGGGAATGGAGCTGGCTGGGCCTTTCCCACCGTAGAGTAAGAGCTGCTTAAAGCTCCACTAAGGCCTGCCCTGGGAGGCACATAAGGTCTCGCCACAGCCAGGTCAGTTGGTGGTAGCCTTCTCTCTCCTCATCGGCCTCTTAACTCCTGATCAGGCACAACCATGAGAAAACCTTCCTGGTCTGGATCAATGAGGAGGACCACACTCGTGTCATCTCCATGGAGAAAGGAGGCAACATGAAGAGAGTCTTTGAGAGGTTCTGTCAGGGCCTGAAGGAAGTGAGTCTCCCCATTTCATCAATGAGACCTTCTCAAGGGGGGCGATCATGGAAATGGGGTTGAATCAGAGGCTGCCAGAGAAGCTGAAGGGAAGGGGCTCCGCACCAAGGGAGCGGGGTTAGGCAGGTGGGCAAAACTGGGGAGAAGATGGTCGTGGAGCACTGGCTTCGATGGACCCACTTACACTTTGTCTTTGCTCCCACAATCAGGTAGAGCGACTGATCCAGGAGAGAGGCTGGGAGTTCATGTGGAACGAAAGACTGGGCTACATCTTGACGTGCCCGTCCAACCTTGGCACCGGCCTGCGTGCCGGAGTTCACATCAAGCTGCCACTGCTGAGCAAAGTAAGGTCCAAGTAAAAGAAATGTCCCAACTGCTCCGAGTCCTTTTTGTAAAGTGCAAAAAGCCACCTTTCCTTAGGGCAATATCAGTACTTTTTTCTCATCTCAAGAGCTACAAAACAGACCCAGCTTGCAGTTATCCCACCCCCACCCCCGAGCTTTCAACGGGGCATTGAGTTTTCCCTCCTCGTGCACATTCCCATGCAGGACCACCGCCTTTCTAAGATCCTGGAGAATCTGCGGCTGCAGAAGCGAGGAACTGGGGGAGTGGACACAGCTGCCACAGGGAGCGTCTTTGACATCTCCAATCTGGATCGCCTGGGCAAATCTGAGGTGACTCCCGGGTCTGGCTAGGTGCAAATGCCCTCGCTTTCTGTGATGCCCGTTTGAGCCACCTGCACAACTGCGGGCCCAGAGAAAGGGCCTTGGGAAAGGGTGCGTGGATGGCAAGTCGGGCAGGGACAGGGTGCTGCCTCCTTCAGAGTTGGTGAGGCCAGCATGACTTAGTACCACAAGGGTGAACAGGGGACATCTGGGGTGGGGGCCAGGAGACTAGAGCCAAGCTCTATTCTGAACTGCCCCAGCTCCGCCCTCTGTCTCTTACCGCCCTGGCTTGTATTCCCATCCTCGGCAGGTGGAGCTGGTGCAGCTGGTGATCGATGGTGTGAACTACCTGATTGATTGTGAGCGGCGCCTGGAACGAGGCCAGGATATCCGTATCCCAGCCCCTGTGAGCCAGTCCCGTGGCTGAGCCCGACCGGATCCCTCCAAGGCTTGAGAGATGCCTGCATGCGTAGTCTTGTGGCTCTAGCTGTGTACCCTGCAGTGATCCTCATAAAGTCCCAACTGCTTTGGCTTCCTTTGGATTGCAGCCATTTTTTCTGCCCATCCCTGCGGGGAGGAGGGAGGAGGCACCTTGTAGGGGCAGCTCAGGGGTCTCCCAGTCTAACGTGGTCCTTTCTGAGTAAAGTTTCATTGTGTCTGACCAAAACAGAAAAGAAAAAGGGGCTAGAAGCCATACTTGAGATTTCAGGGGGAATGGTGCTATCGGAGCAGGAAAACAGGGAACACAGGCCAATCAGCCGGGCACTGATGCTTGGTATACTAAAGTTGGAAAGGACTTTGGACGTCTTCTAGTCTAATCCCCTGCTCAAGGAGACCCTACACCATTTCAGACAAATGGCTCTTCAGTCTCTTCTTAAAAATATCCAGTGATGGAGCACCCACAACTTCTGGAGGCAAGCCGATCCATTGGTTAATTATTCTGTCAGGAGACTGAACAACTCCAGTCTGAAAACATCTGGGGTGCCTCATTTTGGATAGCTGCATTGAACACAGGTGGCTGGGCTGAAGCTTCATGTCTGTCTTTCAATTCTTTGACACAAATTCTTTGATGCACAAGGATTTTGGAGTTCTAGAGGACCATCTTGTGTGCGGCAGCAGCCCAAAAAGCTAATACAATCTTTGGTTATATAACAGAGGCAAAGAATCAAAATCATGTGAAGTGTTAGTACCACTTTATAAAGCTTTAGTAAGGCCACACCTGGAATACTGCATCCAGTTTTGGTTGCCACGTTATAGAAAAGATGTTGAGACTCTGGAAAGAGTACAGAGAAGAGCAACTAGGGTGATTAAAGGCCTTCAGACTAAAACATATGAAGAACAGTTGCAGGATTTGGGTATGGCTAGTTTAGAAAAGAACTGGGAGGACATGATAGCAGTTATTTCAGTATTTGAAGGGTTGCTACAAAGAAGGGGGGGGGTCAACGTATTGCCCAAAGCACCAGAAAACAAGACTAGGAACAATGGATGGAAACTAATCAAGGAGACAAGCAACCTGGAAATAAGGAGAAACTTCCTAAAAGAATAATTAACCAGTGGAACAGTTTGCCTGTAGAAGTTGGAGGCTTTTAAGAACAGATTGGACAACCACTTGTCTGAAGTGGTATAGGGTCTCCTGCTTAAGCAGGGGGCTGGACTAAAAGACCTCCAAGATCACTTCCAGCTCTATTCTATTCTAAATTCTAATTAATATTCCAGAAGAGTGAAACAAAGTTGAAAGCAATCTTGATCAGTTAGAAAAATGCCCTTCTAGTTTTATTGAGACAAATGCATGTTATTCACTAGGAAAAAGAAGTCAAATGCACAGTTTGTGTGTACGGTGAGTGTGTGTGTGTCTGAAAAGGTTCTTGGAACTGGTGGGGTTGATTACAAGCTGAATATGAGTCATAGTATCACATGGCTGCTAAAAGGATAAGTGCCATTTTGGGCTACACCAACAGAAGCACAATTTCCAAAGGATAGGAGGGAAGTGTTCCACTTTGTACTGAATTGAGCTGTATTCTGAGTATTATCCATTCTGGGCATCATAATTTGAGAAATATTCCTATGCCAAGAAGATGATCAGAGATGATCAAGGCGGGACAAAAAGTCACAGCTTGCCAGTTTCTAGCCTGATGCCTTTAACCACTATTCCAAACTGCCTTTCACTCCATATCACTCTGCGCTCAATGGGAAAAAGCCAGTGTCTTATCTACATGGCTCTCGGGAGGGGGGTGGTAAGAGCAATGATGCTATGTGGCTTCATGTTCTTATACTACAGCAAGCTTTTAACTGCCCTCCCAAGAGGAAGGAAGATTGTTAAAACAATCTTGAATCCAAAGGTTTCAAGTTGACTCAGTGCCAGCTAAGGGCAGATCATCATCCCAGGCAGAAAAAGACAGCCCCTTCTGCGGATTGTGTGAGTCAGCTGGAAAAGGAAAGGGACCCCCGTACAAACCTACTGGTAGGGTTACATACCCGGGTACAGATTCTGATAGCAAACCCAGACTCTGCGGGGTTTTCCTCAGGCACTTCATATAAATAGGAAATCAAACGGGAGGGAAAGGTTATTCTCTCTTGCTCCACTCTGGCTGGGACTACTACAAAATGATGCCTGTGGTTCCAGCCCTCATGGTCACCTTAAAACAGGGGTCTTCAAACGTGGCCCTTTTATGACTTGCGGACTTCAACTCCCAGAATTCCTCAGCCAGCATGCCTGTTGAAGTCCACAAGTCATAAAAGGGCCACGTTTGAAGACCCCTGCTTAAACACGCCACGGCTGAGGGTACTGAAAGCCCCCAAGTGAAGGAGGAGGGTAGATGTGCCTGTGTTCCTACCAGGGGGCACCAAGGAGGGCATCTGGTGTAGTTTTTGCCCTATGCCCAGGCCAAGTGCAGATTAGATTTCTTCTGGGGCTCCTGGCGACCGTTCCCTCATTATCGGCTAGATGGGTGCTGACTGGAGAGGCACCCCAGCCTCCTGGCACAAGGCAATGGGAACAACTAGACGGCTCCCCTTCTCAAACCTAGCTACACCTACCTCTCATCTCGCACCACAGATTTGTCCAGCTGGTGTCCAATGTCCAGCCAATACTAGTGTCCCTCTCTGCCAAATGCTCCAGGCTCCAACTCCAGGGATACTCTAGCCGCGGGGGAGGGGTGTCAGCGCACTAAGGGTTGTGCCACAGAGGGAGGGGGACTCCAAGGGCCACATTTACCTAAGGGCCCCCGGAGGAACTCGAAGGAGCGACCGGGCGCCTTAAGAACCCTCAAACCTCGCCAGTCTCCCACCGGGCTTGGGCAGCCCTCCGGCCACGGGAGGAGTCGGGCGCGGCCGAGCTGGGCGGGGCTGTGCCGGCGGGCGGGGGTGGCCGAGCAGGGCCCGTTTTCTCTACTCGACCAAAGCGGGCAGGCGGCCCCCTCATCAGGAGGCCTCAAGACGGGCTCTCCCCCTTCATCCCCAACCCGCGTATTCGCCCAGCGTCATTGCGAGAGAGAATCGACGCCGAATTCCCAACCCCCAGACCAGCTCTTCACGCACCGATTGCCGCTTCGGAGCTCGCTCACGGACCCCGGGAACCGCCCGCGGGAGAGGATCGAGGGAGGAAGGTTTCTCCCACCGGAGCCAAATCCGAGCCGTCCTCCCTTAGGCGGGCAAGCGGGCCCTGCTCCGCGGACGGGGCTGCAAAGGCGCTTACTCCAAGCAGGGCAACGTCTCCTCCACGGTCCAGAGTCCAGACCCTCCCCTCCTGGTCAAGGCCGTAGCCCCCCTCCAACAAGGCCGCGGGGCGGAGGCGGCCGGCTGGGCTGACCCCCCGGCCTGGCGTGGGCGGGCCGGCGTTGGGCTTGGGCTTAAAGGGCCGGCCGGCCAGGGCGGTGCCCGATCCGACGGGGCGCCATGTGGTCTCTGCAGGCGCTGAAGCTGGGCTGCCTGCTCGCCCTGGCCGCGCTGCCGCTGCTCTGCGGCCTTCTCCCGGCGCTGCTCTTCCGCCTGCGCGGGGCCGCGGCCAACGGTGCGTGGGGTCTCCTAGGGCCGGGCAGGTCGCGTGGGCCGGCGGGCCTGGCTCAGCGTCCTTCTCCCCGACTCTCCGCAGGCGCCTCTGGGAGCGGGCGAAGCATCCTGAGCTGCGCGGCGGGCGGAGTCTTTATGGCCGCCTGCTTGCTGGACGTGGTGCCCGATTCGCTGGCCGATCTTCGGGACGAGCTCCGTCTGCAGAGCCTCTCGGTACCGGAGGGGGGCGGCTCTCCCGGGGGAGGGCCAGCCAAGCTGCATCGCGGCGGCCCCGTGGCCGAGCGCAGGGGGCTCGGGGGCGACTCGCGTGGGGACCCCCTTGAGGGCCTGGAGGTGGCCGCTGACCCCGCGAAGACAGGCGGGGAACTACCTCGCCGCCTTTGACCGGGTCCCTGAGCCGCTCCTGTCGCCGAAAGTAACGCGCCCCGGATCCTTCGGCCCCGCGGGGCGGCCGCGGTGACGCTCCGCTTCTCTCCGTTGCAGCCGGCCTTCCCCGCGCCCGAACTGGTACTGGCGCTGGGCTTCCTGCTGGTGTTGGTCCTGGAGCACGTGATGCTGGACTGCAGCGAGCGGCCGGGCGCCGAGGCCACGTCGCCCCTCGTGCTCCGCGAAGAGGCCGCCGTCGGGGATCAGAGGGCCGAGGCCGCGCCGTCGCCCTTTCGCTCGCTGGTGCTGGTCGTCTCGCTGTCGCTGCACTCGGTCTTCGAGGGGCTGGCGCTGGGGCTGCAGGACACGCCGAGCCAGGTGCTCCGGCTGGCGGCGGCGATCGTCCTCCACAAGTGCATCATCGCGGCCAGCCTGGGCCTGCTGCTGCTCCAGAGCCGCCTGGCCCTGCCCTGGCTGGCGGCCGCCGTGGCCTGCTTCACACTCATGTCCCCCGTGGGCGTGGGTGTGGGCATGGCCGTGCCCCGCGGCGCCGGCCCCGGCGGCTCCCTGGCGCGGAGCGTGCTGGAGGGGGTGGCGGCCGGGACCTTCATGTACATCACCTTCCTGGAGATCCTGCCCCAGGAGCTGCATCGCCCCTCGGGCCGCTTGCCCAAAGTCCTTGCTCTGCTCCTGGGCTTCTCCGGGATGGCTGGGCTGCGTTTCCTGGGCTGAGCGTCCGCCTTCCTTGGACGGGGTCTCCGGCGGCGTCTGAGCGCGGGCAGTCTCGTTGCTAGGCCACCCGCCTCCGGAGCCTTCAATGGTTTTATTAAATAGGTTTTTAATTTGTCTTTCTGATGCCAGTTTGTGCTCTTCCTGCCTCATTTCATGATCTTAGCTGTGCGTGGGGGGGTGTCTTCTGTTGTAACTTCACAAGTTTATATAATTTGCTAGAAGCCCATTTGCCCACGGAAAGCCCCCCCCTTCTTCCCGGCCTGGTGACTTGGGATGTTCGGGTCAGAACCTGAGCAACCAGTAGGGCTGCAGTGCCCCCTCGTGGAAGAAACTTTCCGGGTCATTTTTTCATGGCAGCACAAATCACACAACTCTTTACATAACTTTCAATATCCTTTTTCATTCCTGACCACCAAAATTGCCGTCCACCCAATGTAGTCTTCAGAAATCCAAAGTGGCCAGCTTGCTTTGCATCATGGCTCTGCTGAAGGGCTTGAATTAGGGTCAATATTGGGATCTCTCTCCATCTTCATGTTGGATGTGTACCAATAGACGTACCAACCAGATGATACGCCAAAAGCTCCGGGGCCTCATATACATATTTACTTTACGTAATATAGGATCTTTCCCAATTCTGAACCGCAACGGATTCCATAGTTGCCATCTTGTCCCTGTGCTTGGTCTATTGCTTTACAAGTGTCAAAACAAACACATTTCTGGGCTTTGGTCAAGTATAGTATGGTTATAGGCCAGTTGTTTGGCATAATACTTATCCGCCACAAATGCATACACCCATCCTTTAGAGGTGTACCTCACCCTCTGTGGGGTGTGACACATTATTTGCTTATTACTGGAACAGGTGGCATATTGTATTTGGTTATGTATGCAGGTGGATTTTACTCCTTGGCAGGTATAATATGAATGTAAACATGAATGTTAGAGATTTTGGCTCCTGTATGGGTTTTTATATACCTTTGACAGGATGAGTTGTCATCTGAGCCCATGCTTCTCTGTACTCTGTGAGAAACGGGAAATTATAAAGCACATTTGCCTATCCGTCCCCCAGTCAGGTGGAGTGTGGATGTCGCTGTTTTTATACCTTCTGTTCCATAGTTGAGGGGAAAGGGGAGTTGCATTTTTAGGGAAGGACAAACCTCTGCCCTCAGAGTGCGAGCTGCCACCACACATAGGTATTGGGTCCAAGCCACTATTTGCCTATTACTTGTGCTTGCATAACGTTAAATTCCAATATTGTATGATCACTCCACCCCCCCCCCCAAGGTTCCTGTGGCTTCAACACCTTCTATCATTTCACCTCTGTTAGTGAGAATTAGGTCCAATATGGCTGATCCCCTAGTTCCTTTCTTTACTTTTTGAGAGACAAAGTTGTCTGCTGGGTTTGTCAGGAATCTGTTGGATCTTCCACTTGGTGCAGAGTTTGTCTCCCAGTTGATGTCAGGGAAATTAAAGTCCCCCATAACTATTGTGATGTGCTTCCTACATACCTTATTCAGGGGTAGGCAACCTAGGCTCGTGGACTTCAACTCCCAGAATTCCTGAGCCAGCTGAATTCTAGGAGTTGAAATCCAAGTCGTAAAAGAGCCAAGGTTGCTTACCCCTAGTTAGCTGAGTAGCAAAAAGTGCGGAGGCGGCTCCCCTCCTCCCCAGCTGGAGAGCGCCGGGCAGCAGAGCCACTTCCCTAGCCAAGCCTCCAATTTATAACGTTGCTTCTAGGACATGGCTTGGTCTCCCTCCATTACCCGCTTTCCCTTCGGAAGCGCGCTGCTCAGAGTCGCTGGCGGCTGCTCGGCCGGCCGGTCGGCGGTGCCCGTCCCCTCCCGCCTTGTGCTGGGGGGCGGCCGCCCTCCGCTCTCTCCCGGGTCCCCCCGGCCCCGCTGCGGCCAGGCGGCTGAGGGGGCGCGACGGGCTCCGCGACGGGACTCCATCTGCGGCCGAGGCGGCCCCACGCGCTCGTACCCCCCCGTCGGGGGGGTGTCTCTCCTTCTCGCCCCCTCCCCCGCCCGGGCCGAACGGGCGCTTCCCCTTTCGCGCCAGAGCGCCTGCGCGAACCAGAGGAGGCGGGCAGGGGCGCGCCGAGTCGTCGCCCGGCGACGAGAGAAGCCCCGCCCTGATCGAGACGCTCGGGCCAATGGGCGGCTGCCACACAGTAGATCCGGCCCGTCTGCGCAAGGGGTGGGTCTTCCGCTTCCTCTTTAGCCCCGCGCTGAGACGATCGCCGGGGAAAGCGAAAGCTGCCGCCGCCGCCGCCGCCGTTATCGTCAGTCATCTCAGCTGGGCCTCATGGCGACGCTGCTCCTCGCGCTGCTTCTCGCCGTGGCGGCCTGGCCCGCCCGCGCTTCCGACGTGCTAGAGCTGAGCGATGATGACTTCGACAGCGGTCTAGCCGACCGCAACGTCGCCCTGGTCGAGTTCTACGCGCCCTGGTGAGTCGGGACGGCCGCGCGGCATTCCCCGGGCGGGCCTCTCCGCTCTCCGGGACGCTCCGGCAGCGGGAAGCGAGGGGTGCCGCCAGGCGGGGTCTTCGCGGCGGGCTTGGCGCTGCGGCTGCTGCTCGGGCACCAGAGGGCGGGGCCTCGTTGCCGTGGCCTCTCCTGAGTGGTTGCCGCGACGCGCGGGAGGCCGTGGATTGGCTGCGGCCAGGGGCACGGACGGGCGGTGGGGGCACGGGCGCTGGCTGACCGGTGGCGTCGCCTTGCAGGTGCGGACATTGCAAGCGCCTCGCGCCCGAGTACGAGTCGGCGGCCACGCGGCTGAAGGGCATCGTCCCGCTGGCGAAGGTGTGTCTGGGGGGCGGGCTGGAGCGGGGGGCGGGCGGAGGCCTTGGCAGGGCGCCGAGACGGCAATGCGCTCCCCTCCCCCGCTAGGTCGACTGCACGGCCAATTCGGAGACCTGCAACAAGTACGGTGTGAGCGGCTACCCCACGCTGAAGATCTTCCGTAATGGAGAGGAGTCTGGGAGTTACGACGGGCCCAGGACAGCCGGTGAGCACCCCCGTCTCGTAGACATTGGGCACACTTGACGCTCCGGAGGGCGGCTGCAGATTTGAATTGCGCCTCCCAGTTATAGCTTTGGTATCTGGATTCTCACCTTGCAGCTAATAGATTATCACAACGGGCCAGTGTTGAAAACTGTCCTATCAGTACATATAATCCAGCGGTTCTCAACCTATGGGTCGCGACCCCATTTGGGGTCGAACGACCATTTTACAGGGGTCGCCAAACAACGCGATCCGCCATTTTTCCCCCCCAGGGGGCGGCGCCACGCATGCGCGCTGCGCATGGGGGCGGCGCCGCGCCATCACACAAACGTTGAGAACCGCTGATATAATCCTTGGTTTACCACCATAACTGAGCCCAAAATTTCTGTCAAGTGAGTTTGCCTCATTTTACAACCTTATCACAATTGTTAAGTGTAGTTTTTTAGTTAATAACTTAGTTAAGTGAAATTGGCTTCCCTTGTCCGAAAATTGCAAAAGGAGATCACGTGACCCTGGGACACTGCAACTGTCATAAATATTAGTAAGCTGCCAAGCTTCTGAAATTGGAGCACATGACAATGGGGATGCTGCAACTGTTGCAAGTGTCTAAACTGGTCATAAGTCAGTTTTTTTGGTGCTGTCATAACTTGTAAGTCAAGGACTACCTGTAGATGGGTAAGAGATTTGCCTATGTTAACATAATGTTGAATTGAAACAACGATTGATGCACAGATCCTGTAGCCTTTGGGGGCTTTTATACCATGTCAGTGAGTCTCTAAAGAAGATTGGCCTTTATTTGTACATTGTTGTTGTTTTTTCTAAGATGGAATTGTGAGCCATCTAAAGAAACAGGCTGGGCCTGCCTCAGTTCCTCTTTCTCCTGAGGCCTTTGAGAAATTCATCACTGAAAAGGATGCTGCTGTGGTGGGTAAGTAGTCTGGGGGCAGGAGACTACAGTACAGATTAGTGCTTATCTTGATTATTGATAGCTTTGATTCTTGTTTCTGTGTAGGATTTACTTCGTGGACCAATTTATTAGGTAATCCTAGGATGGGATGATTTGCTAACTGTTATGTTGCATTAAAAAAACCCAAATAACTTGATATCCAGTTGATTTGAAGTATTTCTTATCTTTTGCCTTCTCATTGATGGTGTTGTTTATATGACTTCATCCTCCATACAACAACTTGTTAAGAGTATTGGCAAGGCACACTCCCCAGTAAAAATACCAAAGCCATGGGTTGGTTGTGTTCCTTGGGTGGGATTTGAAGACTGGGACAATTTTTGCATGTGGCTTGTTGTTCAATAAAATGCTGACTTTTGGTTTTACCAAATATTTCTCATCTATAACACCAACAGCAAAGGTTTAACATTGACGGATGGTAAATCTTTGATAGACTTGAAGTTCTTGTTTTGTCATTTTAAAGAACAATTGTGCATTTTGTCTTCCCCCTCAAAAAACAAGGAAATGTTTGCTTTTCCTCCCATGTTATCAATTTAAAGTGTCTCAGTGGCATAACCAAATTATTTATCTTGGATCTCTTTTACACAGTTATTTATTTCTTATGAACTACAGGATTCTTCAGGGAGCTGTTTGGTGATCCACATTCAGAATACATGAAAGCAGCAAGCAATTTGCGGGATCATTACCGCTTTGGGCATGTCAGTGATGAGGCCCTCGTTAAAAAATATGAACCAGATGGCGAGTAAGTGTTCAGTGGTTGGTTCTGTGTTTTTCTCATTCAGCTTAAAAGTCCAGTTACAAAGGTTATGAAGTTTGTTCTTGTTTTTGTGTGACTTGCCAACCAAGCAACTTCAGAAGCTGTTCACATTTTCAAAATGTAAAGGGCAGAGCTTTACAGTGCTGAGTTAACTTATGTGAATGAGTTTTTACTATCGTCTTTGGTTCTTGAAGGGTCACATATATAACATAGTTCTTTAGAATGCTTAAGCTTTGTTCTGAGTAGCCTTCTGTGAATGGTGTCACGTCTATACAGCAGCACAAATTGCCAAGTCCCCTCGGGGTTGGTTCTTGTTTATCTACCTGCAGGAGCAGACAAGTCAGAACTTGATGTGCTTGCTGCCTGTGTGTTAGCTTCTCCTTGTGGAATCGGCTC